CTGAGCTGCGGACATCTTGCGAATTTATTTTTAATCATTTAATAGAGAATTTACTAATTTTGATATCTTTTCAGATTTTTCAACAAAATCAGCATCAACGAGGTATGCATTTAATAAATATCCCAAGTTTCATTGCATATTCTAATTGCTTGTTTGCTATTTTTTATAACAGGAAGATGGTCAACCAGGCTTGTATCGTTGGATGCGGATTAGGGGTACCTCTGTATCCCTTCCCACCAGAGGGAGAGATCGGCCGGTGAGTGTACAATATTAGCTTTGAAATAAGTGTATGTGTGTTTTTTTTTTTGTTAATACAATTTTGTTGTGCAATTATGCCTGGGGGAACTTCGAAATAGTGCACCCGGAATCAGAAATGGCTGACTTCGAAAGCGTATCAATACAATGCTTGGAAACTGTTTTACTGCGCTATTCAAAATGCAGAGTTGCGACACATCGCAACCTTATGTATTGCATATTTTAAATATTCAATTTAGCAATGGACAATTTTTCTGAATTTTCCATTTTTACGTATGTACGTATTTGTACGTATGCAAAGCAATAGACGTTTTGGAAGTCAGCCAATCTGTTAGTTACTCTTTTACTTAAGTTATAATATTAGTGTTGAGAGCCGTCCTTCTAAATTGCATTAAGATTTTGTATTCAAAAATGCAAATGCAAGTGGTATACTATATCGAAGTCGACCCTGGAGGAATCTTCAATGGTGCATCCTTAACTAGGTAGGAAATTGAAGTCGTGGGGCAATAAGTGTTAAAAATTTTTTATAATCAAACGGACTTGTCCAACAGAGTCACAGCTTTGTTCACATAGCGGTTGTTGGAAACAGCCAAAAGAAATCGAGGCGGATATATATAGGCTTAAATGCTAATAGCACTTTCTTCAAAACTGTTTGCTCGTAAATTTGAAGAAGGTGTAAAATTTTGTAATTCTGTGATGCACTAATTTGCATCATTCTGCTTTTTTTTTACAGAAATGTCGTTTTGGCCTAACGGACCGGAATGGGTATCGTTAAACTTTTTTCAATACATATCCAAATTTTATTTTAATAATCCCGCTTTTCTTGTTGATTTCCTTTCTTATTTCTACATCGCATTAACTTTTAACCAATATATGTATATACTTATACATATCTGTGTTCATATGGAAAAGTAGCTTATGTCGAAAGGCTGGCTTCAGTATGAATCGGCATCCGCAGCATATGATTGCGAATGACTCACTGGCGCTGAGCCGTTGAACAAAGTTTGGCAAATAAACGTGCAAGAAACAGTTCCGATACTAGCAAGTCAATATTCTTATTAAGTCTCATCAAAAAATTCCTTCTCGTTTAAAGAGTAAAGGTAATGCCGCATTATACTAAAGTCAGCCTTTCTAAATAAGCTACTTTTCCATACGAACACAGATATATATATGTATCAATTAACCAATCAATTTATATACAAATTTTATTTTGAATCATCCCGCTTTTTTTTTGTTGACTTCCTTTTTTGTTTTTACATCCCACTAACTTTTTAAACTACGGTTTTTGCTTTCCCATGTTACATTCTCATTTGCTTTTAGAGAAAAATTAAAATTTCAACTAATATGCATTTACTTGGAGAAACCCTAATTTTATACTAACTTAATCTCTGATTAATAATGAGTTACATAGTACCTTGCACTTTTTTGCTCACTTATATATGTATGTACATATGAACCCACATAAGTATGTGTATCGCACACGATTTTCAAAGGTGACACAACTCAATATAACAGTTTCGTCATAAAATGTGAAAAACTATTTCGTAGTACATGCTAATCATATGGGCAAGGAAAACTTTACCTTAGGTTTTTTTCATCAAATTATAACAAAAATTTGTTCCATCTTTTGCTGAAAGGTAAATAAATGCTCGGTGTAAATTTTTTACACATAATATCAAAAATGCCAAATTTTGAGTTGTGTCACTTTGAAGATGGTGTGCGATATGAAGAAGACCATATGTGCATACATTAAATGTAATGCATAATTTTTTATTTTTACTAGGCGGCGTGAATGGTTACGGCTGTTGGGTGTGACTGGCTCGACAGCAAAATTTATTTTCGCATGCCAAAGGCATTTTTCCCACAAGGTGAGAGGGGGAAGGATCCTCTATAGATGGGCAGTTCCGGACATTAATTTAAGAGTATGTTCGCCCCCAGTGACAGTTGATAGGGAAAATTACTTAGGTAGTATTATAGAAGCAGATATTTTAGTTGACCGAAACACACAAGAGTCTGTAATAGAGTTAGGCGTCGAAGATTTTCAACCGGTACTTGCTTCGCCCAAAGAGGCAGAAAGGGCTTCAACCTCAAATATTGTTGAAGATTCCTTAGAAGAGTCCCTTCCACCCGCTTCACATGATGAAGTAAATTCTTCTTTAGGTCACTCTCTTCTTAAAACTTGGGCTAATAGTAGGCAAACACAAACGGATAAATACCTTACTGATGGGACTCCTAGAAAAAGAAAATACCGGGAAGAGTTGGATAGGAAAAATGAGGAGTTAGGATTGCTACGAGAAAAGGTAGCAATCTTAGAAAAAAGTGCAAAGGAGATGTTTTGAAAAAATATATTTTCGAAGCCATAGGTCAGCTCCAGGGTATTGGACTATATCCCTGCCAAATGGTAACCGATCAAGGGTCGAATTTCGTTAGTTTTTCGAAAATTGTAGGAGTTTCCAGAGAACGACCCTTCTTCGAAGTTAATGGCCAGGAAATCGTATATTTTTTCGACTCTCCGCATCTCCTCAAAAGTACTAGAAACTGTTTAGAAAACAAGAAAAATAAAAGTAACTTTTCAGGCCGCCCTGTAGATTGGATGGATATTGTGCATCTCTATGAACAAGGGTCTCAATATGATATTTCCTGTACCCATAAACTTACCTCGGCACATATTAGACCTAAAACCTTTGATAAAATGAGCGTGCATTTAGCATCGCAAGTCTTTAGTAACTCTGTGGCAAGCGCAATGTTTGCTATCTATAGCTCGGGGCTTTTAAATAGTTCAAGATCCCCTTCCTTTTTTAACACTGCCGAATTTGTCCTTTTCTTTGACAAATTATTTAATATTTTTAATAGTATATACTTTGGGGATGTAGGAAATTTCAAACAACCCTTTCAAGCTACTGTAGACCAACTTACTTTTCTTGACGAAGCCGAACAGTTTTTTGAATTCCATTAAAGTTTACGACGACTTAGGTCGCGATATTACCAATACGTATAGTTTTATTAAAGGTTGGGTCCTAAATATTAGTAGTTTACGTCGTTTGTGGCGATTCTTGTCACATAACGAATTCACTTTTTTATTGACACGTAAATTATGCCAAGACAAAATAGAAAATTTTTTTGGTCATATTCGTAGAGGGGGGTCCTTTGATGTGAGAATAACGCCGCAGCGTTTCTCATATCTCTTTAGGCAAGCCTGGGGTATAGGGTATATTAGATGCGTAGATAAAGGGAACTGTGAACTCTTGCCTGAAGATAAGTGGGAATCATTTTCTAATAGCACCCTTATTACAGCTTGTGACGATGTTTTAGTCAGAGATACTTCCTGGCAAATATTTCAAGGCCTACCCCGGCCTAGTTTAAGCTCATTTCAAGATGTCCAAATCGATATTTCGGTTGATATTGATGAAAGTAGTTTTCTTCATCGAAGCGCTTTTGTTTACTTTTGCGGCTACATGTATTTTAAATATTTCAAGCATCATAATTGCTTAATGCCATTACCAAGATTTGAAGATGGAATTACTGAAAAAGATTTCTTCTTCACTATGGAGAAGCAATTTAGTAATAGCCATCTTGTTAGTCCTCCCAATGAATTTGTTGAGTTTATGTCCAAAATCGAAAAAATCTACACAGATAATTTCGATTCAAATTGTCATAGAATTGGGTTTTCCCAAATCTTATTTGAGAAAATGATAGACGTAGAGCCATACTATTGTTGCGAAAATTGCAACCCCGATGTTTTAAAATGTATTTTCATAAGAATAAGAACTTATTTTCTGGTTAACAGTTTCAATAAGAAAGCGAACCAACCAAATTTTAAAAACATTAAGTTTTTGTGTGTAACACACCAATAGAGTTCGCTTTCAGTCTAAGTGTCTGTCTGCAAAGTCCGAATCCGTCTGAAAAATAGGGTTTTATCGATTTGGGTGTCTTGAAATGAGCTGCCCATGTAGTTAGCTTCCGTGCCCATTTCCTTGTTCTTTAATTTGTACACTTCTATGGGCGTAAGACCTTTCTTTTTTCTCATTTACATTTCAAATTAGTCTGGGTGTCTGTCTGGGTTCAGTCTGGGTGTCTGTCTGCAAAGTTCGAATCCTTGTTCCCATTTCCTTGCTCATTGATTTGCACATTTCTTATCTTTTCTACAGGCGTAAGACCTTTCTTTTTATATTCATATTTTTATATTCATATTTATATTTTCATATGCTTGTTTTCTTTGCAGCTTTCTAGTATTTTTTTTAGTGCAGGCCCTATATCCCCACCACATCTATTTTTATTATTATTTACTTTGTTTGTTAGCCTGTCACTGGGGGCGGTTTTGTAAATACTATGTAAATACTTTGTAAAATATGTACCTGTAAAATTCCGTACCTGAATTGTAATACAAGTATTATTTTGTTTATTTTTGTTGCAAGCAGTATTATTTAGTCTTATTTTTGGTTATGTATTTGTATACTTATTTACATATGTACATCATTACCTTAACAAAGAAAATCCTCAACTAATTTTCCAGCTTTCAAAAAGTATTACTTTTGTACACATTAAATCGCTAAACAGATTAGCATTTAATTATATTTTAACTACATATGTATATATTTTTTTTTGTTAAGGTAATGATATTTATTTTATATGGGTGAAAATAGGCCTCCTGGGGAACCGAACACCTTAAAAAAATCGGTAACGCGCCTGTATTGCTACCTCAGCGGTGGTGTGGAAGAGCAATAAGAATTTAAATAAATATATTTTTATCAGAAAATACAAATGACTCGTTTTATTTTAAATAAAGTGTAATAGGTTAATAATAATACAAGTAATAATTTAATACAATGTAAATTGTTAACGTACATAGTTTAAAATACAAACAGAAATACATAAGTATGTACACATCACATTTAATAAATTACAAACAATGCATTTTCTATGAAGAGTCATCAGCAGCCTTCCAAGCAGTTAAGCGCGAACGAAATCTTAAGATAAACAAAAATGAATATTAAAAATATTTGCTTGGTGTTCTCTGGCCATCGCTGTTGTTACTTTTGTTTGGCATGTGTAGAAACGAGGTACTGCTGTTGCTTATGTTACTGACAATGTAGTGTGGTAAAGTTGCTTGGAGATGGTTCTCTTGTAGTATATTGGCTATCAAGCACCAGAAAATTTCCATCACGCATTCCATATGCCACGGATTGTCGTGGATCAATTAAAATACCTTCATCACAGCTTTTTGGTACTCCAGCAACTGGTGTGTCTATGGCGGAGTTATGTGGAGCAGTTGCATGACTAAAATCAATTTCGACTCTTTGAGAACTGGCTTGTTTGTTGCGAGCGCTATTGGCATCAAACGTACGCAAATTAGATTTCCAAACGAGCAACTGTTGAATACAGGAAAAAATTTATATTATATAATTTTTTTACATACAAAGCAGAAATTACCTGTCGATCCTCGCCCGCGGAAGCAAAATGTCTACCATGTGGAGAGAAAGCGACAGCGCAAACTTAGTAGCCAGTTAGTGTATAATTTTCCCGTCCATTTTGACCTGGTTCCGCTAAAGTGCCCTACTACCGTGTATAAATTGGCCGACCTTCTAATAAATCAAGCAATCTTATTGTATCGTCATCGCCGCCAGTCACCAAGAAATTTCCACTTGGGTGAAATGCAACATCATTCTCCGGCGACGAATGCACTGTATTAGCTCGCCTTCAGCTTTGTCAAATATCTTAACGCGGTTACAACTTAATGCTAAAGCCACCAGATTGCCATCTGGATGCCATGCCAGCTGCCGTCCCATACCTCTTCCCCCGGTGAACGTTCGCATACATTCGCCTGAAAATGTATCGCAAATTCTTAACTTGTCGCCGCACGATGAAATGAACTTACCATTAGGGCTGAATTTTGCTCCGCGCACCCATTTTTGTGTATTTTGAATTAGTATTTTGATGGCTGTTCGCCATTTTTCCAGTCTGCAAACGAATAACCCTGCAAGACAGCTAACAGCTAGAATTGTGGTTAACCGGTAGTTATCGTTCATTTGTGAAGCGGTATATAAACTGGCTAACTTTGTTCTAGCCGTGTGCAAATATTAACCACTTTTTCATATACGTGTGATACGTTATCTCCCTTACACTAATAGAACTGTTCGATTTCAACGAACTATAGCTGAACTACTCTAATTCCCCTTTCATAGCGACCGAAGTGGTTAATGTTGTGGTGAACACTTAGTTAATGATAGCTGCTGAAGTAGCTAATGTTATGGTTACCATGTAGTTAATGATAGTTGCTGAAGTGGCTAATGTTGTGGTGAACATGTAACTAACGATGGTTGCTGAAGTGGCTAATGTTGTGGTTAACATGTAGCTAAAGATAGCTGCTGAAGTAGCTAATATTATGGTTACCATGTAGTTAACGATACCTACTGAAGTAGTTAGTGCTATGGTGTTTATAACCACAAATTTTTTAAGTAAATTGTACAAAAAGTAATTTTTTCATTATTCATTTATTTATTTCAATAACATATTTAAAAACATAAATATGACCGCTTTCATAAGGACAAAATAATGTAGTATTAAAATTTATTAAATAATAAAATATTAATTTAAATAATCAGATCAGTGAGTAATTCAATTAATTATTGTTATTTCTGCTGTTAAAATGTTTAAAACTATGTATTTACATTTACTAATTACTAAGCTTTTATAAATAGGTAGATAGGTAGGTTTTTTGTTGTTAAAATTCCAGTATGCAAATTTTAATATAAAATTATTAAAAAAACTATTGTTAAAATTTACTTTTTTAACTATTTACAATTATTTACAAATTAATAAAGGTAGTCGGGATGTTTTGTATATGCCCTTGCATGTGTATTTGTGGTTTTTGGTAGAAAAAGTAGTGAAATTTCTTACAGCAATACAATATAAAAGTTTACTCCATTACCTAAGAAAAACCACAAATACAGAATTCAAGAGCATATCAACTGCTAAGTGGAAGATCGACCTATCTCGGCAGCCAGCTCGAAAACATCCTACCTCAAAAAACTTTTCAATTCGTTTTTTAGAATTCGTTTCAAAAACGTCCTATCTCAGCACATTTTCAATACATTTTGAAGTGAGATAGGGCCTTTTTGAACCGAACTCGGGAGCGTTTTTTAATAAAATTCTGAAATAGGGCGTTCTTGAAAAGTTTTTTGAGATAGGTAATTTTCGAACTGGCTGCCGAGGTCGATCTTCCACTCCGCAGTCGATATACAAAAAATCCCGAATAGCCGTATTTAAATAACGTTTTTGAAATTTAGATTGGAAAGTTATTAAATTTTTATGTTACTTTTTTTTAGAGATTAATAATAAGATAATTAAATTAATTATTGTTAGATTTGTTATTATGTTTCATTTTTTTTTATTACAATTTGTTTGTACCTATTGTGGCTTAGGAACACGTGCTTTCTGATTTCCGCAATGAGGTCAATTTTGGGCATACTCACAAACGCATCTGTTGGAAAAATATAAATGCATTACTTCCTGAAATACATAAGTCAAATAAACAATTAAAACATATTTACCGAAAACTAATTCTATTGTTTTTAGCCCCAGAAGTGGAGCTTTGTTGGCTTTGCCCTCATAATTGTATGAAATGAGTAGAGTGTCGGCAAAAATGCTTCTCAACACGTGTTTCACACAACCCTTAGCACCCTTCAATTTTAGAATTATGTTCAGTTATGGAAAAGATTATAAAATTTATAAATACTAGATATGTACATAAATGCAATTATAAATATAAATGTAAATAATAAAATATAATATATGACTACATAAACGAAATATAAATTAACACCAATCGAAAGATCTTATTTAAAATGGTAAAACTGCATCTTTAACTAAAAATCGTCAAAATCTTTCACAGACAAGCAAAATATCATATGTTTACAGAGCGGTAAGTCACAGCAAAAACTGTTATTTAAAAGAAAATATTTAGTTGTTGAAAACAAATTTTTCAAAAGTTTGTGAACAGCGAAAAAGTAATTATATAATTAGAGCGTTCCAGATCGTCTACGATTTGCAGGATTTACTCCAAAGTTGTTCCCATACGCCACGTTCACATAAGGTTTATCAAAGGCAAAAACAGCTGTTCCTGTAAAACCTGCAAATCCTAGAGTACGGCAACAAGCTAAATATGTATTTTGTTTTTTAATTATAATATAGTTCTCTTTAACGGTAAAATATGTTTTGTTGACATATGCTGTTTTGCGTGTTCTTGAAAGATAGAGTTAAGTGGCTCATAGTACAACAAAAATCATACAAACCATTTCCATAAATTTTCATGCCCATTTCCCGCTTTTTGATACGATTTGTAAAAATATTTCGAGTATGGAATTTTATAGTCCACTGAATTTTATTATAATAAGATTTAAGTTTAAAGTTTCTACAAATTTGCGGCATTTTTTAGATTTTCTTTTGTGTGATTGAGTTTATTTTTGTATGGGAGAAAGTAAGCCAATCCGTTCACAAAAAAATCGCATTTGTGAAAATTTCAAACTTGCATATTATTATACTAAAAATCAGTGGGCTACAGAATTGCACACTCAAAACATTTTTAAAATTCGTATCAAAAAGCTGGAAAAGTGCATGAAAATTAAATTAAATTTTATCGAATTTTCCTGTTATTTGTACAAAGTTTGGAACTTTGGTTTTTACGATTTTTGTTATACATACTATAAACCAAATTTTAATAAAAAAAATTGCATACATATGTATATACGAATAAAAATTAATATGAGTAAAATAAAATGCATATATACAACTAATATGATATATACATACATTTGTAGTTATATGTGTATAAAAAACAATAAAACAAATTAGCAAAAATTACCATCGCATCGGAGTGTGGTTTGTTTCCCAAAAGATTCTCCAAAGTATTTAACTTTTCCTGGGATGATAGTGGAAGCATACTTTGAAGCAAAGTATGCTCTTTACTAATAGCATCTCCAGTGATTCGGGAAATACTTTGGTGAACTTTCGAGGTCACCACTTTGCACTCTCGCAGTAGCTGCCCTTGAGCTTGAACTTCGGCGCGTTCGGGCATCTGAAAAAAAAAAAATTATTAAACAATAATTTTAGCATTCATAAATATGTACATTGATATAACCTTTTCGGCCAGAGCATTTGCTATTCCGTCCACCTTTGACTCAACTCTTCCAATGGCGGCCATGACGCCATCAAACATTTCTTTTTGCCTCTCCAGCAGGTGAGACAAGGTAAATTGTTGACCTGTGTTGCTTGTTGTTGTTGTAGTGGCTACACCCGTGTTGGTGGTTACTGTTGGCTGGGAGACAAAGCGCTCCTCGTAAGGCAGTGCCACATGAAAGCGCTTTCTATGTAGGGCTACATCTGAAAGCGCAGGAATGTTTGATTAAAAACTGTTAAACATATTGTAAATGTATATGTATGTATATTTTCGAAATACCTGTGTTGCTCGTGCGTGGTGGAGAGCGCTTCGGTATCTCCCAGGAACAGTGGTGACAAATCCATTGCTTCAAGAGAAGGAAAAAAAAAGATTATGCAGAATCGGAACTAAAATAAACTTATTCGTATCAGGAATCCAAAAATAAAAATTCTACCTTCATGTTAAACTGTTACTACTGCGAATTATGACAACTACCAGTGGTTGAGTTCACTACTTCATAGCAGCAGTGGCACGGAAACGTGGATCTGCTATTGCAACTTCTCTACTTGAATAGATGAGAAGCAGTGTCAGAATCGGGAAACACAAGAAGGCCTTTCTTGTTTTAATTAGTGCTATGTTTCGTTGAGACTATCATAATATTGTTGTATGTGCTATTACTCTGACTACAAATATCACTTCGTTCATATTTTAGTTCTCCTACCTGATCTGTGCCTCAACGAAACATAGAACCAAGTAAAACAAGAAAGGTCCTCGTGTGTTTTCCGATTCTGGCCGTGCTTCTTATCCATTCAAGTAGAGAAGTAGCAATAGCAGAGCAATGTTTCCATTTCCTCTGCTGCTATGAAGTAGCAAACCCAATCACTGTTGTTGAACTGTGCACTACACTTTGTAAACTATGGCTTCCAGAATGACCGCATTCACCAGTCCTAAATTTGAAAATATATGCACATAAAAAGGTATCGCATAATCGTAAGAAAGACTGTTTTCCAAAACATATCAGTTTTTAAGCGCACAACCATGAAATTCCAATTTACAACTTGTTGAACTGACTCGTTTTGGAAAACAGCCAAAGGCTGACCTACTACACTTTTTACATATGTAGCACTGCACTTTCTTTTGTTGTTTACATTTGCACATAATTAGCCGGTTCCCGTACTTCACGATTTGCAGGATTTGCAGGTTTTACCGGAACAGCTGTTTTTGCCTTTAATAAGCCTTATGTGTACGGGAACGACTTTGGACTAAATCCTGCAAATCGTAGACGTTCTGGAACGCACTAAATAAGCCTGTTCCAGGTACTTCACGCTTCGCAGGTTTTTATAGGAAGCTGTTTCTGTACGCCATAAGGTTTATTAATTGCAAAAACAGCTTTTCTTGTGAAATGTGCAAATCGGGAAGCACCAGGAACATGATTAATGTAGGCAGTTGCAGCAGAAGCAACGTTTATTCGTCGCATGAAAACTTACCGAATAATGTATGCAGCGCTGTTTATTGGTGGCGGCGTTGAAGGTGGTGGATATGCTGGTGTGGTGCCTGACTGGAGGTGGCGTTGATGTTCCGTGGTAGCAGGGTCGAAGATAAATTTAGAATGAAAAATCGCAAATCTGTAAATGCAAAATTATCAATTAAAATATACAAATATTTGAATAATTCTAATACATACCTTAATTATATGATTAAATCGCAGTGTTTCGGCAATCTAAAAGAAAAAAATTCCATTATAAACAATGCAAATTTTTAAAACGTTCTCTTACCTTCAAATGTTTTTGCAAAATTAACGCTTTTATTTACAGCCTACTGTGATCAAAGATGTCAAACTTTTGCTAAAGTCACAGCCTCTGTGATCAAAGCTGTCAAATTTTGCTTCATTTCCACTTACTCGCTCTAACGCATAAAATTCTTATTACAGTAAAAATTTTTATTGGGTCCGGTGCTCTCACTCAGAATTTTGTTTTGACAGTCGGAAAAATAAATTTGTAAATGTGTGGGTAGCATAGATAAAAAGCTGCGAGTGTGTGTGTAAATCTGTTGAATTTCAGGGGCAACTGGTTAGCTGTGGCTTGCAGGGAAGCTGACGAAGATGCAAACAAATTCAACCACATTGTTGCATTCTAC